AAATGTCCGCCCCTTCCAATGACGCCACTGCAAAAAGAGGGCAAACTTCCGGGGGGGGGGGGGGGGGGGGGGGGCAAAGCTGACAGAAGGGCAATGTGTGGACCACGAAAGACTTACATATGTATTATTGTTGGCAATTGTGAGATGTTACATGTAACCGAAGCTATATTTTATAAAGAAGAATATAAAGAGTTTCATAGATATGAACTTGTAGCGTCCGTTTTGTTATATTATGAACTTAATGACAGAATTACTATTACTTTAAAAAATGATGCGATTAAATAACGTTAAATGTGTCCTAACTTTGATATGCTATTCTTTGTCTGCGCATAGGCAGGTCTATTTTTTCACGTGTATTTCATGACCGGGTCTGTCTGACTAGAACAGACCTGTGCACGTGCAAAAGATAGACCTCATAACGGACTTTCTTTTGTTTAAACAGGTCTATCCGAAAAATATAAACCTGTCACAAACAATAGAGGAGGTGTGTAAGGAATTGAAGAAGCTAGTACAGAGGAAACACAGTGATTGTACCAAGCTAATGACTGGTTATATAATCAATAAAGTGAGATAAATTACACCCCTGGAGAAAACTGTTCACAATAGTTGGGCAGAAATATATGCAGAGAGATTAACAGATTGAAAGATTTTCAATTTAACAAACAAAGAGATTGCAAATTAACGGAAAGAAAGATTGCCAATTTACAGAGAGATTGCCAATTAAAAGAATTTTTGAATTGGCAGAAATACTCTTTGACTTTGAGTGTTTAATTTATTAGACAGAGAGATTGCCAATTAACAGACAGAGAAATTGCCAATTAACAGACAGAGAAATTGCCAATTAACAGACAGAAGTATTTTCAATTGATAAGCAGAGAGATTGCCAATTTACAGATACAGAGATTGCCTATTGATAGAGAGATTGCAAATTTTTAAAAGACAAAAATTTTGCCATGTAACAGAGATTGCCAATTAAGAGTATAATAGAGTGTTTTTGAATTAACAAAAAAGATGTTTTAGTTTTGGAGAGTCAGAGAGAATTGCCAATTAACAGACTGAGAGAGATTGTCAGTAACCTCTGTTATATGTACAATTCTTTTTATTCTGTACTTTCCTTTTATTTTAAAAAGATTATGCTATAGTAACTTTATGTTATTATATTAAATTAAAACTTAAACTACTCAAAGGCTATATATTATTGTATTGAAATAGAAAGAGTGTAAAGATTATTATATATTTTTTCTCACTTTTTGGAGAAAAAATTAATCAGTATCGTCACAAAACCATTATTTGTGTTGGTCTGCTATTTTGGGGTATATGTCCCTTTCCTTTGATTCACAATTGATATTTTATTTTTAATAAGTTTTAAATATATTAATTAAATAAGAATGAAAGAAATTAACAGTTCTTGTTTAAAAATCGGAAACATGTAAAGACAAT